ACACACACACACACACACACACACACACACACACACACAGTGTTGCTGACCTGCAGTAACCTGACGGCCAGTATGATGGAGCGAGTGCACAGCACGGCTGATGTGAGGCACATCAGAATAACGAAGGCATCAAAGACCAGCAGATAGTGTGTGTTCTTCTGAGCTGAAAGACACACAAAAAGCACAAGTGTGGGTGTGAGAGGGTTTATCACTCAACTCCCTCACACTCACAGTTCTGACACTGATAACACAAGTCTGAAAGCAAACGCCTCAGTTACAGGAAACTGCCCAGTCCTGGTACAAGTTTGGAGACAAATCCTTCCACACACTTTAACAATGTGGTGAACAAGCTGCTGCAATACAAAACAAACTGGACAGACACATTGGTCCACATGAGTTTATTTTTATTTAGTCTGATTCTTTAAATCTTGACAACATTTTGATATTTTTACAAATATTCCAAACATGCATTTGCAGGCTGACCTGTTGTTTTACTCAAATGTGAAAAACAGTTTTCAAAGCCATAACCTGCCTCATTCCTCCCTCATTTGTTACCATTAATTATTCATTTTTGCTTCGCTTTGGTTGCAGAAGTTCACCTTACCCGTCCCCGATATCTTCCAGTCTCGGCACGCGCTGCTTTCAGCGTCTATGTCCAGGAATAGTTTCACCTTTCCACTGTGACACTGGTTATCGAACGTTATCTATCAAATCAAAAGGGATCCAGGTGTTTATATGTGCTTCAATCCACCTGTGTTTGCTGCCTTTACATGGCGTTAATAAAGCCAAGAGATTTATACCGTAACAAAGAAGGAGTAGCAGTCGGGCAACTCTCGCGAACGCACCGTCTGGAGGTTGATTCCCTTCAACTGGAAGGTTATTTTGATGTCGACAAGTCTGAAAGAGCAGCGAAATGTTTGATTTAAAAAGGGGATGTCAGCATGTAATGTAAATATTTTAAACAGCATACCTGTAAAAATCCAGATTAAAAAAGGAGGAATTCTCTGTTCTCCACAGGTTTGCAGTCTTTGGATCGTGTGACATACAAACTGAAAAAAAATCATCACATATATGTGGTGTGTAAAAAACACAGACACAGCTTTTGTTTCCCTCTCAAAATTAGTTCTTATACTCCAATATGAAATTTCATGACCTGTTTAAATTACCAGTAAATCCCATAATGGTTCTATAATGTCTGAAATATATAAGAAATGGTATTTTTAAACATGAATCTTTTGCCCCGTTTCTAATAAAAACTCTTCAAGTTTGTCATTAAATATTAAAACTACAGGAGCCCAAAGGGGACATTTTAACAACACTATGATCTTAATTATCTAAATGGCAAATCTGACACCAACTTCGCTGCGTATAACAGCAAACTGACATGCAAATTTTCCCTCTCACCCGTCTCCAGCTGAGCATCGATGTCATAGATCTCATCTGAAGGCTCCACGCTGCCCCTCCTATAGTACTCTTTACATATGGTGAGGGGCAGCAACTTGCTATTTTCATCCTCTGCGTAACTGATCGGGCCCACAGAGAGCTGGTCCAGCTGACTGTGCTGTACACAACAGGGAATTTTAGGAAAATTTTAAAAAAAAGGAAACATCCCAGGGTGACGAGACAATAAAGAAGCTGAAAACTGGAATATCGCAGTGAAACACGATAAAACAAGAAATTCAAAAAATAAAACCGTTCCAACTCAGGCGATGCTTAAATTACACCAGATATGTTTATATGAGCATTAGATTTGAGTTCCTGATGGAGGTGCATGTTCTATAATAAAACTCAACACTACAAACACTTCATAATGCCACAGTAGTCACTGTTACTTGCCTGATCCATGACATAAAACAGACTTTCATAGACGTCGTGCTTCGTGTAGACGGCAACACTGTAGTCGTCCTCGTCGACCCCGCTGTAGCCTTTTAAGAAAAGGTGTTTGAGCGCCATGGTGTTCTCTTCCTTATAGGAAACCACCAGCTGGTTGTTGAGGCCGAACAGGACGAGCTGTGGGGAAAACAAGAAAGGAGAGTTGAACATATACGCGTCTTATTCCTTTTGAGGTGGAAAACACACGTTATAGTAGCTTTACATTTCTGACATACCACTCAGTCAGTTGGGCCTTTTTAAGAGGAGATTATCCAAAACTGTAGCTGTTATGGACATGGATTATTGTGCAATCTCCTACAGCTACACATTTACAAGTAGCTTTAAACTGTTACGTGAAATACTGATGAGGTGCTTTAAAGACGTTTGTTGTTTTAGGGCAATGTGCTTCTGAAACAACACAAATTTAGCAGCAAAATAAAGACAAACACAAATATTCCTTTATTCTCCCATTTTAAGCAGGACCCTCAGTGTAAGCATGTGTATACACACTGCTCTTGGCTGCATGCCTTCGATTACAGATTGCAGTTCCAGGAAGCCCCTTCATTCCCGCTTTCCTGGTCTTTCCCAACATACAATAAACCCCAGTGCACATACTTGTGTCGTGACCATGATGATTTTCAGGATCTGGACTCCCATTTTCCAGGGAATGTGTCTTCGGGCTCTGTACTTCTCACAGGGGCTCATGAAATAATACCTCAGGTCATCTCTGAGGTTGTCCTCTTTTATAATGTCCTGACAGACAGAGCTGTAAGACAACACAACCATCATGCAGATGACAGCAACAGACCGCAGTGCTGTGGCTACACAGTTAGAACATGTGGAAATGAACAGATGGAGTCAAACGGTTTCTCTACGAAGGAAGAAGAAAGCAGCCAGAAGGCTGAAAATGCAGAAGTGAAAGTTAAAAAGAAAGACAGTTATTTTATCAGTTCGTGTTGTTGCGGTGTACCAGACTGCTAATCAATCACACAGAGATCCGGGTACGAAGTTCAAGGTTAGCTCAGTAATTGTACTTTCACCATTTCCCCCAATTGTTTGTCAACTATAAACAACACAAATCCAAGTCTCCAGGTTACAAAGCGCAACGTTAAATTCAACCCTGATCACGTCATAAAACTTCATAAATGAGTTTCGCGGTTGTTTTTAACGCGAGACAAACGTTGTTACATTTTAACATTTCAGAATTATGAGGTAACAAAACTAAATTTGAACGCAACTTATTTAAACATAAAAAGCTTACCTGACTGAATTGCTTCTATCCAGATAGCGAGAAAATAATTCCATTTTCGCAAAGCAAGGTGGGAAAAAAGCCAAATGACTGAAGGGAGATTATTAAACGTCAGCCGGACAGCTCCGGCAGAGAGTCAGAGACAACTCTGCTCTGCTGCGCGTGTGCCCCGCGAGACCACGACGCTTTCAGTCAGCCAATCAGGAAATGGGTTTGAGGCGGCACAGGTGCGCAATCTACGAGTGAACGAGTGCTCACGGAAAGGCCCGAAACATAATGTGGTTAAGAAACTAGATTGAAATAGAAAAAATAAAATAATAATGAAACGTTCCTGTGTGTGTGAAAATCAATGCGTCAGTGTATAACCTTTGGACTGATTAAAACCTGGAGCAGTTACTGATATAAGGAACAAACTCCACAGAAGGTACTTCTATATTTCACAGGCAAGAGTCTGTAGGTCACGTCACGGTGCTGTAGTACACGAAATAAATATTTCAGCGCGATTCTTTGGGCTCAAAATAGAAGAAATGTGTGAAATTACTGAAAAAACGCTGATAGCTCAGTGCCCAGATGTTCCTGTAATTAAACATGAAAAAGTGGGTTAATTCAGAGAAGATGCCATTTTTTGTTTCTATGATCAATAGTGAAAAAACAGGGTACTTTGTAATTTAATTGAATTAACTGATATAGTATTAATAGCCATGGGGGAAGTCTTTATCAGAAGGAGAAGCTATAAAACCTAAATTAAAAAATATTTTAAACTCCAAATATTTATGCCATCCTTCACATTTTCCCAAAGCCATCTAGTGGCCGGAACAGTGTCTTTGCCAGGCCTTATGTTTGACATCCAAGTCTCACAGATACATGCAGAATATCCTAAGAGGTCAGAGGAAGACGGGTCCTAGGTTAAACAGAAACCAGCACATTCCTGATACGATCTGCTGCTGCCTGGCGTCCACCTAAGATGACAGCTACAGTGTGTTAAATGTGAAACGCAGGGACCGTGTTTAATTTCTGTTCCAAAACCTCACGTTGGACAAAGAAACATGACGGATGTGACAAAACTTTATTTGTCCACTGATGAACACAGAGCAACAAAGTCAACTTCCTGATATCAAATATGACTTCCACAGATCAGAGCTGGAACGCCTGTGAGCTCCTGAAGCTGCTTCAGACAGGAGGGAAAACTGTAAATCATCGTCCTCAAATGACAAAAATGAAATGATGACGTGAAGATACAGTCGATGACATGCACTGGATTTCAGCCACTTTACTGCTTTTTATACTGAGCGAGCTCCATCGAGCTCACTATGGCTAAAATCCACTGTTCTTGCACAGATGTCTATGTTGTGGTAGCAACAAAAATCTAGCATATATAAAGCATAAAGTCAAGTCAAGTCATCTTTATTCATATAGCACATTTAAAAGACATCAAGTGTTGGCCAAAGTGCTGAACAGAGGAATATGATAAAAAGAATTAAACATAAAAATAAAATAATAATAATAATGATAATGATAATAATGATAATAATGATAATAATGATAATAATGATAATAATGATAATAATGATAATAATAATGATAATGATGATAATGATAATAATATAATGATAATAAT